ATGGCACCCTTCGGGGGAAGAGCAGTTACACCGAGCTAAATCCGGGCAGACCAGGCCATCCGACGCTCGCACTGAACGCAGGGAAGCCGCCCCCTTGAGCGCCGACGCTAGCCCACCTAATATCACCCCAGACTGCCGCGCGTCGGCTCCGACATCAGTCCCCGCGGAGGAAACCGCGCGCGCTTGCAAATCTTCGGCTTCCTAGGGGGGGCGGGGGGGGCAGCTTTTCCGAGGCAGCCGCTCGGAGGCCAGACAGGGCATCGTGCAACTTCGATCTCTTCCCAGTTGGACAGCCCCCAGACTTGTCCCCGATCCTGGGCGCGGAGCTTCGCGTTGTTCACGGGGGGCTGCAACGCCTCGACAAAGAGCGGGGCAACGTTTTCAAGAGCTGTTTCAGGCCCCTCCTTGCGCCGCGAGCGCGGCCCCTTCGCTCCGCGCGGGGCGGCCCTGACCCGCCGGCTCTCGAGGCCCTCCCTGGCCTCCTCCTCGGCTGCGCACCACGCGCGCTTCAGAGCCCCAGAGGCGGCCTGGGCAAGCCTCTCCGCGATCGCAGGATCGGAAAGCCCAGGCTGGGAGGCCAGATTTGCCCTCCGCCAGGCCCGGGGGGGGCCCGGGGGAGGCTTCCCCTGGCCCTGGGGAGTGGTCTGGAGGGAGACCTGGTGGAGGACCATGGAGGCCTCCGGGAGGTCTCCTGCCGACCTCCCAGAGACCTCCCCCAGGCTGAGCAAGCGGCAGCGCGCTCGAGAACTTGGCAGCGCGGGGCACCGCGTCCACCGCCCTTTTCTGCGCGCGCAGCTCGGCGGACTTGGGGGGCGGTTCGGGCCCGTCCGCCATTCGAACAGCTCAGCGGATAAGGTGGGCCAGAGGGCCAGCGCGGGGCGCCGATGCGCAGCGCCCCCCCCCGCAAAAGAACTCGGCGCGCGAATGGAGGCAGCGCGTGACTTCATGTAACCCCCTCTCCCCTCGTACTCGTCACTCTCTCGGCACTTCGGCGGCAGCAGCTGCGCGCGACGAATGCAGCGACTCAGTGGCGCGGGGCCAGGGGGCATGCCGTGCGTTGAAATGCGGATCGAGGTGCTCAGGCGCGCGCGGCATCAAATTCTTGGCTGCGCAGGGCACGGCTCGCCCTCACACGCATCGCCATTCATCGCCCTGGAAAGATGTCGTTCCCAGGGGTGCTCGGGCCTTGGGGGCCGCGGAGGGGCGGGCCCGCTTGCAGAGCCTCTGGGCCAGCGCCCGCCGCTTCACCTAGACGTCCAAACTCCGATGCGTGACGAATGGTGACGGCTCAAGGACGCTTACCTGGGCGACCGGGGCAAGCTCTTGCGATGCCAACACATAGTCAATGAGCCCGACCCTCGGGCACAGGTAAGCTCAGCTCCAGCAGGCGCCGTCAATCGGGCATGCAGCGACTGCGGATACCCAGATAAAACAGAGTATCAGCCTCATTAGTGAAGCCCCCAATGAGCACTCATGAAATCTCCAAGGTCCGAACAAACTCGGCGAGGCCCCGCGCTCGAACAAAGGTATCTCCCGCGGCCCCGAGGCAGGACACAACGTCGCAAACGCCGATGGCCAACGCAGCCTTCTTTGCCATGAGTTCGCGGAAAAGCCAGCTTGGGCCCGAACCGCCGTCGCGCGCCGCCTCATCTCGCGCCGGCAAAACAAGGGGCTCTTGCGCACAACCAGGTGGGCGTTTTTCTATCTATCGTTTTGCCGTTCGGCGCGGGCCCTCGCGCCCCCCCCCCCGCGGAGTAGATCTTGCTTGTTTTAAGCGCCTGTTTCGGGCAGGTGGGGCCCCCTCCATGATGGGCGCCCTGTTGTGAGCAGTCGCAGTTGGCTGAGGTCCGGAGCCGGGCGCCCCCCTTCCCCCCCTTGCGCTCAATGCCGAAACTCCGATGAAAAAAACGCCCACTTGCGCGCGACCAGCCCAGCGCCCCCGCGAGCGCCGCCCCCCCCCCCCCCCCGTCGGAGTGCCGGCTTGGAAGCGCGGGCGCGCGCGCTTTCGGCCGCGCGCCGCCTCTCGGGCCGCGCGGGGGGCGCTCGCCCCTGCGACCTGCCCTCGCGGCGCAGGAAGGCCGCCGCCGCGCGGGCGGACCTCGGAGGAGGACTCGTTGGCGACCTTCGACAAGGACGCGACGCCGCGCCCGTTTTCGCACTCGGTTTTCCCGCGGGCGAAATGCATTTCGTTGAGGGGGGGGGGGGGGGCTTCGCTTGTGATGTTGGCGTGCAAGTCTCGCGCGCGGCGTTTCCGGTCGCGATGTCGGGGTCGAACTGGCCTCTGCCAGGGAGTGTGCTTTTGAAGGCCAGGATTTCATGCCTTGTGCCATTGCAAACCATTTTTCCGGATGGGGCCTCGGTCCTTTCGAGGCATTGCCAGGGCGTGGCGTAGCCGAACAACAGCTTCGCGCCGTCGGCCAGCTTCGACGCCGCGTCCACCCGCGAGAACTCCATTCGCGCGGCCACTTAGCAGGGGCCGGCGCGGCCTGCTGGGGGATCTCCTTGAAGTGAGCTCCGATGTTCTCCTGGTCAGGACGCGTGCCCGCGTGGGACTTGGCCTTGGCGCGCTTGACCCAGAGCTCCTCCAACCGCTCATGCCTCTCGTTGGACAGCACCTGTTCTTGACCGCGCTCGCGGAGGGACCGGATTGCTTCATCGCCGCCGCAGACGCAAGCGTGACCTACCAGCATCGGTAATTTCATCCTCGACCCTGCTCAGAGTTCGCTGCGAGGCGCGGAAGGACGCCGGCTGCCGCTGGCTGGCCCTTCCCGCAACCCCGCTGGCTGCCGACGAGCCTTCGCCCAAGCCTGGAGCTCGACAGGGGGCGTGTTCACGAAGTCGGGGGGCTCGACGTCCACCTGCTCCGCCGCTGCTGGCGCCTGGGGCGCCGCGCCAGCAGCGGGGCCGCCGCCGCGGGGGCAGCCTCCGGCCTGGGGCGGCCCCGATGCCGCAGGTGAGGCCCCTGCCGCGGGGCCCGCGGCCGCCTGCGCCGCTGCGGGCGGCGCGGCCCGCAGCTGGCGCTGGCGCTCCGCCTCGGCCGCAGCCCGCATATCCCCCCCGCTTCTCGCCCTTCCACTTCCGCGGATCGAATGCCTGCATCGCGCGATATGTTTCGCCGCGGGCAGCCGCCGCATCATCGTGTGCAGCGCGTGCCGCGCGAAGCGCATCCGTAGCCTTTTTCGAGCTGCTCCCGTGCCTTCTGACCTCATGTGCGCGACGCTGCTCGACCTCCCGGCGCGCGAGCCGAATTTTGCGAGCGGCCCTTCGATTGCCTTGGCCACTCGCACGCTCAGCGCTGGCCGCGGCGCCCAGCTGCGTCGCGGGCATGGGTGCCACAGGCCCAGGCTGGGTGGTGAACTCCTCCAGGTTCACGCGCAGTTCGGGCCGATGGGCCAACAGCTTCGCGGCAACCTCGCAAACATCATCTGGCGGCTCACCAGCATCGGCACGATCACCAGGCTGAACGGACGCACCAGCACCACGCTGCGCCACATCATGCCCTCCTTGGACATGGCTGCCACCACGCTTTGAGCACGCAACATGCCTTCGACTGGCGTAGCCCCAAAGCTTGCAATACCCACACATTGTAAGCCCTCGACTGCTGCTTCTTTTTGGCACGCCCCTGCCACTCACCACCTTCATCGGCATGCTGGAACATCCCTGTGCCCTTCCTCCCCGCGCGGCCGCCTGAACGAGGCATCCACCAAGGAGGATCACCAGCCATGCCTGCGCACGGAGCGGGCAAGAACGAACAATGGTGACACAGTTGAAGCGGTGCGTTCCAAAACCGTTGGAGCCCTGGCTACGGAAGCAGCAAAAGCTAATCGCTGGATTCCGGGCGTCTATAGCCCTTCACAGCGTTTAGCCTTGAGCCAGACTTGTTACGGCAGGAGGAGGGGGATGAAACAAAAAGAGGAGGAGGAGGAGGAACAGGAGGAGGAGGAGGAGGAGGAGGGGGACAAGTAGGAAGAGGCGGCGGCGGTGGCGGCGGAGACGGCGGCGGCGGCGGCGGAGGAGGAGGAAGAGGAGGAGGAGGCGGAGGAGGAGGAGGAACAGGAGGAGGAGGAGGAGGAGGAGGAGGACGACGGAGACGGGGACGGGGACGGAGACGGGGACGGAGACGGGGACGGGGACGGGGACGGGGAGGAGGAGGAGGAGGATAAGGAGGTGGAGGAGGAGGTGGCGGAGGAGGGGGAGGAGGAGGAAGAGGAGGAAGGGGAAGAGGAGGAAGAGGAGGACAAAGAGGACGATGATGATGATGCTGATGATGCTGATGATGATGATGATGCTGATGAGGCTTATGCTGACGATGCTGATGATGATGCTGAACATGATAATGATGATGATGATGCTGATGATGATGATGATGCTGATGACGATGATGACGATGATGACGACGATGATGATGATGATGATGCTGATGATGCTGATGATGATGATGATGATGATGATGATGATGATGATGATGATGATGATGATGATGATGATGATGATGATGATGAGCTGGAGGAGGAGGAGGAGGAGGAGGAGGAGGAGGAGGAACAGAAGGAGCAGGAGGAGAAAAGGGAGGAAACCAGTCTGTCTCCTCGGGGGGAGGCCAGGGCTGGGGCTGGGGCGGGGGTTGAAGCGGGAGCCGGGGTAGGCCGAGGCCCTGGCCGGGGCGGTGCTGGGGCTGGGGCCAGGGCTGGGGTTTGGGGCCAGTGCCCGGGCAGCACTGGAGTTGTTTTTTTTCCGAAGGGCTTAGGCGACCCGTCCTCCTCCTCCTCTTCCTTCTCCTCCTCCCCCTCCTTCTCCTCCTTCTCCTCCTCCTCCGCCTCCTCCGCCTCCTCCTCCTCTTCCTCCTCCTCCCCCTCTTCGCCCTCCCCTCCTCGGGTCGCCTACGGCCCTGGGGGAAACCGTCCAGACAGCACAAGTAGGATACACTCAGTGCAAGCATTGTTTGAGTATTTGGCTCAGAGGCCAGTAGGTGAGTGCACATGGAGGACATCAAGAGGTGTCAGTCACGTCTTCTTGGGGTCTATCACGAACGCCCTGACTGCGTGCCTCCGCCTTCTCATTTCTAGCCCTTTGTCCCACTCTCGCCTCGTTTCCCGATGAGGAGCGTGGCGATCTCTTTTTGGTTCGCTGGCGGTGGCTGGGCAGTCCCAGAAGTGTACCTGCCCCACCCTCCCCTCCCCTAGCCCTGGCCGAATCTTCTTCGCCTGGGAGGGTGAGCAGTGTACCTGTCTGAGCTTTCCATTAGCGCAGCTTCCGCCGACGGGCAAGCTGGCATCGGAGGCAATCGTCCTCGGTTGCCTGGGGCATTCACTGCGTGGTTGGCTCGTCACCTAGTTCGAGTTTCAATGTTTTAGTAAAGGGTGGCTGGCAGACTCGAGCGCCCCTGAGTAATTTAGGTGATCGCTCCCAAGCCCGACTGTTAGAACTGGGGCGGACGAAAGGGAGGTTCCTTTGGATGCAACCTCTTGGGAGGTTTAATTCAGCATCGGTGCTGATATATGCGTGGTCGAGCAACCAGCTCAATCCAGCATCATTCCGTCTACCCTAGCTTTGTCCCGCTTATTTCTTAACCTTGGGCTGAATCCGGCTTGATCAGGAACTATCCGGTGTGATAGTTTGTTACTTTGGCCGAGTAGCACTCACTTGTTATTGCGAAGACCTCCGATGAGTTGCCTCCGGAGGGATTGGGGAAGGGGGCGGTTTGGCGAGCCTGCTGTACGCAGCTGGTTCTGGCTCCGCCGCCGGGCGCCTTCTTCCCACGTTTGCGCCTCTGGCGCGGGCAGGCGCCAGGAGAGGTGACCGCACGCAGCCGATTCGCCGAGCCCCCTCTGCTATTCTCCCTCGGTGTCGCTCGGACGTGTTTTTTTGTTCTCGGCGATGCCTGCGCCAGAAACTCCTGACCATCTAGGAGCATCTGAGATCATCGAGCGAAATGGGCATGCGCGAAGCCGAACAATGCACGGGCAGTGCACGTCCGAGCGATGCGAGTCCGCCGTTCCTCCGACCCGGTAGTGACGGTAGGACCTGGGCTTCTTGGCACAGGTGAATGCAAAAGTACATGGCCATCCCAGATGACTTGTCATCCCTTGGCTTCTTTGCCGTCGGGGGTCATACAGGACCTCTGCTCGGCGGTCTGGTTCTGTGGGATATTCGGGGACGGTGATCAGTGATATTGGGAGGACGTCGGGAAGGGGTTCGGGAAGGGCAGCGGAGGCTCAGCGTGCGATACGTCGGAGCGGCTTGTTGCGAGATCTATATGAAGTATCCAGTTGCCCGTCTTCAGCACGGTCACAGTAGGCGCCCACGGGCCACAGCATTTGGCAGTTGCAAATGAACGACTAGACCTGGGCTCGGCCCACACAAACGAGATCGTCTTCACGATCATCTTCGCCATCGGTCTGCTGTTTGCGCGTGTGCGACAGTGGTCGTGCGTGATTGTTCGCGGATTTGTTGACTTGTGGATTTGTGCTCATTTTGTGGCGCATCGCTCGCCAGACAGACAGCGGCAGTGTGTTCTGGAGTAGCGGCGGACCTTGTATCAAGGCAGGAAAAACCACCTAGACCCCGACAACTGTCGTTTACTAGACAGCCCTGAGCGTTTGCTAAACAGCCCTGCCCTGTTCGATTCCTTCCTTGGGTGCGTTCACCATAGGGATTCGCTTGTCGGGGCGCTTGTTATGAGGGTGGATGTGCTGCCCTCTCTTGTAGGGATCTGCGAAGCAGCAGGGAGAGCGAGCAGGATGCTGACGCACCGCAGCCAACCGGTTTCTCTCGACTTTTGGAGCGCCCGGCGTGGATCGGCGCTGCACTCCGAGCCCTTTGAGCGAGGAGTGGCCCCGAGGCCCTGGAGCCGGGAGGCCCTGGTCGATTCGAGCAGCGCGCACCGCCCACCAAACCACCCCAACCCAACCCGAAAGCACCGATTTGCCCTCCATTTCCAGCGGGGGGGGGCGGAGAACATCGAAAAATACATATTAAGCCCGTATCCTTGTTCTTTATTATTATATACCCCCACCTACCTCGTATTCGGGCCGATAGCAACCCAATCCGGGACCTCCCATCCGGACTGTAAAAAATCAATACAGAGTGGCCGTTTTTCTTCTCAACATAGTCTTTCTTGTCGTCGACGATGCGAAAAGCCTGGCAGGAATGGGACGCGGCGCACGTCGCTCGCGGCAGTCAATCTGGGCCCGCCCATCCTGACTGTAAAAAATCAATACGAAGTCTTCGTTTGTTCCTCTCAGCATGGCCTGCCTTGTCACCGACGGTGCGAAATATGTGGCAGCAATGGGACGCGGCGCGCATATGGGACGCGGCGCACATCGCGCGCGGCCGTCAATCCGGGCCCGCCCATCCTGACTATAAAAAATCCATATAAAGTCTCCGCTTTCTCCTCTCAGCATGGCTTGCCTGGTCGCCGACGGTGCGAAATATGTGGCAGGAACGGGACGCGGCGCGCATCGCGCGCGGACGTCCATGCGGGCTGCGGGCCCTCCCATCCTGACTGTAAAAACAATACAGAGTTGCCGTTTTTCCTTTCATCATGGCCTGTCTTGTCGTCGACGATGCGAAATGCGTGGCAGGAGTGGGGCGCGGCGCACATCGCGCGCGGACTTCTGGGGCAACCCCAAGGCGGGAGGGGCCACCTTACTTGTCAGAAGCAATGCCATGCTGATTTTCCCTGCCCACATAGCTGTTCTTGTCGTCCACCCCGCAAAAGTGCATGGCAAGAATTGGGCGCGGCCCCCCCCCCCCGCTCGAAGTGAATGAAATGACCTTCCCGCTTGGGCGCCGAGCGAAATTTTCTCAAAGTTGCGCTCCCGCTTTGGCTCGGCGCACGTTTTTAGCTCGCCAATTCATTGGGCGCCGGGGCGTTCCAGGAGGCCCTGGGGTGACGAATGCCTGGGAGGTTTTTGCTTGTTCAGGCTCTTGGAGGGCCTCCTGAGGCTCCCCGCGGTTTCTTGGCGGCGTCTTCGGCCGTCTGGAGGCCATCTTGGGCGTCTTGGAACGATCTTTCGGCGACTCAGGGCCCCTCGGATCGTCTCGGGGGCGTCTCGGCTCTCTTGGGGCGTTCTTGGTTCTTGGGGCGCTCTGGGACCTGGAAGTCAGCGCCGAAGAAGAGAACCATCGCTGGGACCGACGTGCCCAGGACCTGCTCGGGGTTCTTTTCGTCTGGGGGCCCCCAGGGGCCGCCCCGCGCGCGCAAACTAGAAGATTGTTAACTAGTTACCGGAGATTTTAGCACGCCTCTGGCCCGTTGGGCTGGCCCGGGACCTGTTCGGGTTTTTTTTCGTCCGGGGACCCCCAGGGGTCGCCCCGCGCGCGCGAACTAGAAGATTGTTAACTATTTACCGGAGACCTTTGCACGCCTCTCGTCCGATGGGCTGGCGAATTTGTCCCAAGCCTTTCTGAGATCTGGACCCCTTTCTCGGGAGCAGTTTTGCGTCCTGGATATTTTCTTATTGGTCCGGGGGGCCAAAAAATGTTCCCTGGAGGGCGAAATAGAAGGAAAAACATACGAAGTCGATGGAAAAACGCCAGCACGGAGAAAATCCAATCGTCGGGGATGTGGGCCCAAGAGCCGCGAGAGCTTCCGAGGAGCCTCGAAACCCGAACCGGGAGGGCCCGTGGCGGCGGCACGGCGCCGGCGCAGCCCACAGGTCATGGTCGGCGGCGCGCCGAGGGGGAGTGTTTCAGTGAGGTGCTCGAACTTTGCGCCTCGAGCATCGGTGTTCGAGTCTTTCTGGCCCTCGGGGTCCTCTTCTGAGTCACGGCTGGACGCGACTCGAAAAAATTGTGCGTTTGGACCCGGGAGGGGTCCGAAGGCTTCCTTCGGACCGGATCTGGGTTTGGGGGTACAGCGAGGGAAGACAGCAGCCTGTCCGTTGCTTCGAGAATTGGTGTTCGAGGTTTTCTGGCCCTCGGGGACGGCTGGACGCGACTCGAAAAAGTTGTGCGTTTGGACCTGGGAGGAATCCGAAGGCTTCGTCCGGAACGGATTTGGGGGGGTTAGGGGTGCGGCGAGGGGGAAGAGAGCAGCCTGTCCGTTGTGCCATCACTGTTTCTTATGTTGTGGGAGGGCGGGCGGGGACGGGCATGCCGTGCTTGACTCGCTCGAGCTGGCTAGCTTAACCCCCCCCAACCCGACGTTCGGGCAAAATTCGTGTCTTCGGGTTGGGTTGGGGTGGTCTGGTAGGTAGTCGGGTGCACTTGTTGGCAGTCCTGTGCGGAGGGGTGTTGGCAGTCCCCGATTTTCCCGCGTCACGACGAGCTCGACGGGCTTTTTTGTTGTTTCCATCTTCGGCCCGCGCTGGCCATCGCTGGGCGCGAGTCGCGCGTGCCCTTCTACAGGAGGATTTGTCAAAAACAATAGAAAATAGTCAGGGGGCGTTTTGTGTTTTTTCCCCAACCATCCTGTGGTGTTGGGTCCTCGCTTTGAAGAGACAGCGCCGCGCGTCTCCTCCCCCCGTTGCCCCCCAACCTTCCTCCTCGTCCTTGCTTTTGCTCTCCACATGTCTTTGTTTCAGCACGCCCCTCGCACGTTTCGTGGTCTCATAAGGAGGTCCACCTAAGGTCCCAGTGGCGCAGCTCGCATGGCGGCCCCGCCCCATTGTGGCACGCCCGTCGCACGCTTCGTGGCGCCATAGGGAGCTCCACCGAAGGTCCCAGTGGTGCAGCTCGCATGGCGGCCTCGCCCCTTTTTGGCACCCCCACACACACGTTTCGTTGCCCCATGGGGCCATGGGGAGTTCCACCTACGGGACGAGAGCACCAGTGGCATGCACGGATTGCTCCTGGTGCACGTGGGCATGCGGATCCCGCTCCTGGAGGCGCTACGTCAAGAGCGGCCTCGTCAAGGATGCCGAGGGGCAGATAGTGCACACCGTCGTGGACCGTCGAGGTCGGGGCGACGTCGACAAGGCCGAGAGAGACGGGGAGAAGAGGATCTATCTGCAGCACTTGCTGCTGGGGCTCTGGCTGCGCATGGAGAGGTGCGCGAGCGCGCCCTTCGAAGACGACCTCAAGCGCCACGACGACAGCCTCACGGGGGACCTCACGGGCCCAC